CCAGCGGCCCCAAGCCCAGAAGGGCGGTGGATGATGGCAGCGGGCTGAATGGAGTGAGGGGGGGCAAGGGGGACAACAGCGGCAGTGGCCCCTCTATCCCACCCCAGGGCAGTAGTGAAGGTGATGCTGAGACGAGCTGGACAGTGATGGGCAGGAAGGGGAGGAAGACCCCGGCGACGGCTGCAAAGGCTGCACCAGCAGAGACCAACCCCTTTTTGGTGCTGGCGGAGCTGAGGGGAGAGGAGGACGCCCCCACAGATGTTCCTGCTCCAACGGGGGGGAATACACCTATGGCCACACAACAACCGGGGGATCCAGCAGCAGCAACAACATCCCCCGCAGCGAACCCCAATGGGATTTCTTCCACACCCACGGCCACGGCCGTGGAAGGAGCGCCGGCGGCAGCAGCACTGCCGGGGGCACCAGAAGCAGCAGCACTGGACCCAACCCCACCCCCCGCAGCGAACCCCAATGGGATTTCTTCCACACCCACGGCCACGGCCGTGAAAGGAGCGCCGGCGGCAGCAGCACTGCCGGGGGCACCAGAAGCAGCAGCACTGGACCCAACCCCACCCCCCGCAGCGAACCCCAATGGGATTTCATCCGCACCCACGGCCACGGCCGTGGAAGGAGCGCTGGCGACAGCAGCACTGCCGGGGGCACCAGAAGCAGTAGTACTGGACCTAACCCCACCCTCAGCGGCACCGGACCTCCATAAGGGGAAAGCATGCAAGCCCCGCAAGACCCAAGGAATAAAGAAAATCCGCAGGCCAGACCTGACGGGGGAAGCCAGGCGCACGTTCTTTCTGGCGCANACAGCTGCAGCCCGAGCAGCCCGCAAACAATCCGCAGAACTGGCCCAGCGAACTAAGGACCAGAAGCGGCTGATCCATAAAACGTCTGCAGCGGAGAGACGAAGCGAGCTTATCCAGTCTGCCCGTAAGCAGAAAGCGAAAGGTGCCGAAAGCCACCCAGGGGACCCAGGCCTCGGGGAGGGAGCTGGGGACTGCTGCTGCCGAGGGGGACGACACGATTATGGAGGGCGAATCAATGGGCTCCCCATCCCAGAGCCTAATTTTACACCTCCCCACCGCCTCCCAACCTGGTTTTAAAGACCAGCCCACTGCCACCCCCACCCAACTCTGTTGATGGAAGCGACGACCACAATCAAGCGCCAACAGGGCGCAATGCAGGGACGGCCACTTCGTATTGCAACACAGAACATGCAGGGTCTGCTGGCCAAACACAAGGACAAGATTCATGCAGCGGCCAAACAGTGGATAGAGATGGGGCTGGATGTGATCTGCCTGCAGGAAACCCACCACACCAATGCCCACCACCAGTCCCTGTTTGAACGCGAGCTAAGCATGGCAGCTGCAACAGCCCACAGCCGGGGCTGGCGAGTAGTGGCCAGCTCGTGGTCTAACTCCATCCACACGGGGGGCGTCCTTACCCTCGTCCGACAAGGCCTAACAGCTACCGTGGAGACCAAGCCTAATAAGCCGAGTGTACAGGGTCGGCTGACGAGCTGCCTGCTTCGCTGGGGAGGACACTGCATTGAGGTCTGCAACATCTATGTCCCCACCGGCACTACTCATAGAGCAGCAGCCCTCAGGCAAGAACTGATCAGCAACATCCTGGCAGCAACGGCCACGCAGGCAGATACAAACAATGACACCACCCTTATATGGGCGGGGGACTTCAACTTTGTCGAAAACCCAGCGCTGGACTCCACAGCGGGGGAGGATGGGCGGAGGGGAGATGGCCCCATAGCAGAAATGCTCCGCACAGCTGGGCCAGCCATGATGGATAGTCACCGTCAGCTTCATCCCCTGCGCCATGACTACACCCACCTCTACCGAGCGCCCCGCCCAGGAGGCTCCCGACTGGATCGCATTTATGTGAATCAAGCCNGTGATGCCGTATGTTGCTCGCACGGAGATTATCCAGCACACCCCCTCAGATCACCAGCCGATGGTCCTACACCTGCTGCCTCGCCGGGTTGAACAGAGGGGCCCGGGCATCGCCGGGT